TCTGTTACCTTTATTCAAGACTATTTCCTAACCTACTATTAAATGTGAGGTACCTCCTAGGGATTTCAGAGGTTAATGTCTAATCCATGTTAAAAGGTAAATTTAAAATTGCTGATTTTTTTCAGTATGGAAGGCCCTTCTTGTTCGGAATCTTATCCAACATAATTTTCTTCTCTTTCATTTTTCTTTCTTTACTTTTTCTTCTTTCTCTCATTTAAAGTTTTTAAAGCGACGCAGCTTTTTATACGCACTTCAACCTCTCCTTTATTTGCCGTATCCCCCGTAGACGATTATGGCTCTTCACAACTTCGTGTCCATTGTAACTCTTAATAATTTCATCTTTCTGTTATTTCTCCTAGACCCTGCTCCGCCATCCATTTACACAAGCTCACTGAGTATGTTATGCGTCTTTTTCCTCTCGTAGAGAAGGCAACAGAAAACCAATCCACTATCAATCCCAAGAAATATCAGGACATTTCAGAAGCAAGATATAAAACCTAGCGGTGTGGAGGGCTTTAAGTCTACTGAGATTAACTCCTCGCCTGGTAAGAAGCAATATATGCTACAAATGTCACCTGGCCGTCATTCATCGACTGTTAGCATAAACGGCGTAAAGGAGGCCAAACTCTTTAGGATTGACCCCTGGCCCTATAAGGGAAGACATGAACGACAGGTGTCACCTGATCGTCATCTAGCGACTATATCACATAAACTGCACTTCAACACTTGTGTGAATATACCTGTGAGATTCAACCGGAACGATAATTTGTTTAAAACAGAACCTAGGGCATCCTTATTTCAACGACCCGTTTTATATAAAATTTATTCCTCCCAGCACCTTTATTTAAACTGTGACCATTCTTGTACAAAGCGATTCGTTTACATATTTTATAAAAGTGGTATTTGGAATAAGGGTGTCCTTGAGGATTTTCTTCCACGACCCGAAATAAAATAAATAAATAATAATAATAACTTGCTGCACAGGATCAATGCTTGCTAACTAGAAATTACCAAGGACACATACAGAAAAAATGTGTCAACCCGAAATGCAGATTCTGTGATAAATATTTAACAAACAGTTGAACATGTATCAGATTAAACGGTGAATATAAAACTCGTCATGCTAGAGTGGGTCAAAATTCCCACTGGAAAATATGCAACTAGTTAAGGGAAGGAAACTGTAAGAAACTTGTATGAACATCACCCATACCAGGTTACAGAGATAGGACCTGTAACAGTTTTCTGGGACTTTATAATACACAGAGACAGAATAATCAAAGCTAATCGCCCAGACATCTTGAAGCTCACAAAAATAGAATGTGTTTTCTTATTGGCATGGCAGTTCCTGGAGATTGTAAGATATCTTTGAAGATCTTAAAAAAAAAACTATCAAAATACAAGGATCTTGAAGTCAAAATCTCAAAAATGTGGTACATGAGGACATCGATAATTCCAATTGTAGCTGGATCACTCGGATTGATTGAAGAAAGTTCCAATAAACTTACTGAAGGGATTCCTCGTATCGCATGACTTAAACAAATACAAAACATTGTACTCACAAGTACAGCTGACCCAATATAAACAGCTTTATTTATGTAAAATGTGTGTAATCTTAGAGGGTTTTTTTTATGTATTTATTATCTTTTTAAAATAATAAATGGAAAATGTTATGACGCAGTTTCTGACTTTAATTCTCTGGTTGGCACCCGGAAATAAATGTGTATGCATCAAAAAATCAAAGGAAATACTACTACAACAAAAACTACTACTACTACTACTACTACTACTAATAATAATAATAATAATAATAAAAGTAGAAGGACCTTGAAATCAAAATCTCAAAAATGTGGCACATGAGAACATCAAAAATTCCAGTTGTAGTTGGAGCGCTCGGATTCTTTGGAAAAAATTCCAAAAGACTTATTGAAGGGATTCCTGTTAGCCCATGGTTTGGAGAAATACAAAAAAAAAATATTCTTACGAGTATAGCCCACATCTTACGAAGGGCTTTATCTATGTAAAAAATGAATTTTTTTTTCAAAACTGGTCAGTGAAAATATCATGATGCAATTTCTGATCTTAGGTCTCTGGTCAGGATCCGGAAAGAAATGAGTATACAACAGAAATCAAAGGAAATAATAATAATAATAATAATAATAATAATAATAATAATAATAATAATAATAATAATAATAATAATAATCCTGATAGACTCATTGAAGGGATTCCTGGTAGCACATGCCCTAAAGAAATACAAAAATTGGATACACAACTAGAGTTCACACATTACGAATAGCTTTATCTATGTAAAATGTGTGTGATCTTTGGTTTTCTTTTTCTTTGTTTTGGTTTATAAAAAATGATCAGTGGAAGATGGCATAAATCCATTTCTGAACATATATATCTGCTTGGGACACGGAAGGAACCGTGTATACAACAAAACCACAAAGAAATTATTATTATTATTATTATTAATAATAATAATAATAATAATAATAATAATAATAATAATGGTCGTCTAGGGCCGTCATTATGAAACTCAAAGTTATGGATCTACATGATTACTAAGTTTAAAATATGCGAATTCTGAATTAACCAACACTTGGGAATCTTGTAAAAGCATGTGACCTAATTTTAGTTAAATTTTCTTCCCATCTTCCTTCTTTCTGGATTGGGATCAATCTGATGTTTATCTCTTTCTTCAGTCGAGACAACGCACAATACAGAGGTTTCCTTCCCTCATTAAAAGAGAATTGTTTTTCACTAGGATTTTAAAACAAAAGACATGTAATTTTATATTTTCTAAATGATTATCACGATAACAAATCCTGTAACGTTTTATGGTCGATATTCGTAGCTGTACAGGGAAAAATGGTCCGACTGTAGACCATCCCCCTTCACTTTTGAATTCAGAGTTTTCCATTGTATATATTGGCTGCCATACCGGTGTTAAAGAACCCAATTTGCTCTATTATTTAGCAAGCTTCCTTTTCTTAGACTGACTTTTACTTAAGACAAGATAATAGGGTCTACCCTAATATTTAACCCGTAGTCGGATCAATGGATTCTCGCCTTTTTGCTGGAATTTAATGCGAAGTGCACGAAACAGATTCAGTTAGAATTTGAACTTGATACGCCAATTCCATTCTTCTTGATGATAAAAGTCACAAAAGATACACAGCCTAAATTTTCAGTGCAAATATATATATATTAGCAATTTCCATGGGGAAACAATCAGTTTTATCGGTGAATTAGTAAAACATGAATAAAATCCATTTGCATTTTATAAAAGTCAGCATCGTATAATTATATATTGTTTGGTTTCCATGAACGTTCATCAAGCATATATGAGTTTGTGCGGTTTTGCGGATACAAAGATTCAGTAACAAACCACTACTTCGTAAAGACTTACATGTTAGACAATAGTTCACCAAACTACCCATCTGCTATTACGTTTGAGATCGTGGTTCAACTTAATGAAATGAAATACTTTACTTTTGGGTCAATTTCTGCACGAATTTAGAATGATTAGGTTTGTTTTGTTTTACGACATATCAACACCTCAATGGGTTATTTAATGCCGACAAATTTTTATTGCTGGTAATATGTTTTTCTTCGAAAATCTATTTCTGGAAATATTTTCCTTGAATAAATCTATAGCTAATCTATATTTATAAATCAATATAAATCTATATCTTTGTTTTCAAAGAATGTATAGCTGCTTGCATTGCTAGTACTTTTTTAAAAGTATTGCTGATAATATATATTCCTTCAAAGATAATTGATGGTAATATTCTTTTTTATTACAAAGTATTTCTGGTATTAAAACCTATTTTAACACAAGTTTGGGTGTCAACTATTTGCCCATAACTGGGACCCTAAGAGGTGCTACCACTCCAGGTCAGGGTGGACCTGGGAACGCCAGCAATTAAGAGTTGGTCCCACGCCTCGCAAAACCACCTGATCAGAGGCCTAGCTGTTGGACGTAGTTTATCGCCTTACCCAGGACGCGGATGTAGCTTATCGTCATACCCAGGACGGTAAATTTCGAATGAATAAACAACAGTAAATTAATTTTAATTTAGTTTTCTCAGTTTTTTTGCATCGATTATCGTTTATAGTAGCGTTTATCTTCATGCAGGAATTTTTTCCTTGTAATATGCACGGCATTGCATGTTGTATGTGTTTCATAAAGACACTAAGGCAAAAATAAAAATAAATAAATAAATGTTAAATCTTTGTGTATTGTACTCAGGTGCAGTGAATGGTTTCCAAAGTTTAAAATGTTGAGTAAGATCTTTTTGATTAGCCTCGATCTCGTAGACCAGCTACTTTATGCAATGATCTTTTGTAGGCATTGGTTGAAGTAAATCCCCGTCAAAGCAGCTGAGACTTAGCAAGCGATGGAAAAGTCATGCATAATTCTGTTAGAACATCACAAGTAAATCCGGTAGAAATCTTAAGACAGGATTTGACTTTCGCGATCTTTCTATCAAGGAATCGATCGCTACATTCGACCATTTTGAAACAGTCTGTTGGTCAGAAAAAAATAATTTCTTTTAATTCTTCTTAAGAATAAATGATCATTGCTGTATACTATATATTCAAAAGCTAGTTCTTCTCATGCAATATTAAATCGATCCAGATATTTGTTTTTATCTCAAATTGATTATTTCCATCAATGGTAACATGAAAAAGAAAATATATTATTGGAAATATTTTTAAACTCTTGATATACAAATTATTTCATATAGAAGTTAAACATAAAAAAACCCATTCAAACAAAAATGAAAATAACAAATAATTTTGAAAAAACTAGACACATGAAACTATTCGTTTGTTCGGAAAATAATGTCCGATTTTAGAAAGAACATTTTAATTCTGTTGTAATATATTATTATAATACTTGCAAAATATATTACACATTCCTAATGATTACAGTGTCCTCGTTGTTAATTTTAGATCAATATCTTTCAGAATTTAATTTAAAACATTATAAATCACTCAGTTTGAGCATGAAGAGATAGATGTAAACAGAAAGAGATAGATAGATATATAGATATATAGATAATGAAGAGATTGAGATAGATAGATATGAACAAACTGAGATAGATAGATAGATAGATAGATAGATAGATAGATAGATAGATAATGAAGTGATTGAGATAGATAGATAGATAGATAATGAATGAATAGATAGATAATGAAGATATATATATATATATATATATATATATATATATATATATAGAGAGAGAGAGAGAGAGAGAGACAATGAACAAACTGAGATAGATGGATAGGAACAGACTGACATAGATAGATAGATAGATAGATAGATAGATATATAGATATATAGATAGATAGATATATAGATATATAGATAGATAGATAGATAGATAGATAATGAACATACTGAGACAGATAGATATACATATAGATAATGAAGAGATTGAAATAGGTAGATAGATAGATAGGAACAGACTAAGAAGTGATAGATAGATAGATAGATAGATAGATAGATAGATAGATATTAGTTTATTCGGAAAATAATGTCCGATTTTATAAGCCTCTTATGCTCTAAGTTACCATTATAATATTTGCACAAAAAATATCACTCATTCTAAATGTTTAAAGTGTCCTCCCTGTTAATTTGATATATTTTTCCTTCGGAATTTAACTTAAGACATCATATACCCCTTATCTTGAACCTAAAAAGAAGATATATTTTGCATGAGTTCAATCTTGTACATAATGCTTCTCAAAATGTTGTTAACATTAATATAACATGAGGTGAAGGATCCACTTGTGATCAGGCAGTACGGCACTGGTTTCTGAAGTTCCGCAGTGGGGATATGAGTCTTGAAGATCAATGTTGTAGAGGATCTCCATCTATAATTAAAAATCGACATCTAAAATCACTAGTCGAACAACATCCACATTAAAGTGTCAGAGAAATGTTTCATATAATTGGTGTCAGCTTTACAGCAATATCGGACCCTCTCAAGAAAATTGATCAACGTGAAGAAAGTCGATAAATGTGTTTCATGTTTTGAAGTATGTTCCATGGCGCATCTGTGAAATTCGAAATTTCTTTATCGAATAGTAGCTTGTCATGAGAAATGGATCCTTTGTAACTATCGTAAACAATTAATGGCTTCATCCTGACGAGGACCGAGACACTTTCCAAAATCGAAATTGGCCCAAATGAAGATGAAAGTAACTGTCTGCTTCCTGGAATCTAACCAAAACATCACTACCGAAATTTACTGTCCATAACTTGATTCTGTTAAGCAAAATGCAATCGGCATGAATTAAACAACAAGGCCCAATTCTGCATCATGACAATGTTCGTTACCCTTTTGCCAGGATGATACCGCAGACTCTCATCGATTTCGGATACAAGACTTTCTCATATCCACTATATTCCCTTGAAAACTCGCCCATTGACTAGCAGTTTCTCATGCAACTTGACAATTTTAAACGGAAAAACATTCCGTAAAAAAAAAATGCAAAACTGCATTCAAAGATTTATTTCCATTGACATCTTAGAGTTTTATCATAAAGTTATAAATAACATTATATTGATTTTCATGGTTCCGATTTTGACTAATTAAAACATTGTTTAACTGCATCCATTCAGCAATAAAAGTCGATTCTAAAACCGGGCATTATTTTTCGAACAACCTAATTAACGGTTAAAATAGAAAAGGATTTATGGAAACTTAATATAAAATTTGTTTCATCTACATCAAAAACAATAAGAGATTTAATTAATTAGTTTCAAAATAATAACAATTTTAAATGTAAATTAGGAATTTACAGCGAAAAAAATAGCCAAAAAATAAATAATTGAAATATCGCTGTATTTAAATAAAACCTTCCATGAAGATGAAAGCGATGTTTTATAAAACTCTGTTCATTAGTCGTTTATTATATGATAATACTACTGGCAATATTAGTTGCTTCCCTATAAGGAAATATTAGGCATTCCTTGATCGAAAAGCCAGAGATACTGTTGGTTGAAATATGTAAAATCTTTCTATTAAAATAACTTTTCAGGAAAATAAATTTCTCAATTTCTCTTTCATTACTTTTTCCAGTATAGATGAACGCTTCTTTCCTAAACTTTTGTTCGAAGCAATATGGGTCATCGTGATTATACCATTATGTTCGCTTTGAGTTAAATATACTATCCACGTTAATTATTGCTGATAATGAAAGCCCTCAAGTCATTTCTCTTACTTAATAAAGATCTTTGTAATTCTGTAATGCGAATCCACAAGGTTCGAAGAAGGACGTTCCTCTCCAAGATCTGTAGGCTTAATTCGCTCGGATCCATTTTGCTTGACCATGATTTCGTATGAGAGACAGGAGTTTTAATTAAAATAGAATGCAATTGATTAATCCGAAAATTTAATGAAAAGTAATAATTTTAAATTCATCTGCGATAAATTCATGATCACATCTGGGTTCCTTGCAAAACTAATGCTGATATAACGTGGAATATTTAAACATAATTAGCGAGAAGAAAGAAACTAAAAAGAAAAGCGATAGAAAATTGAATGAGATCATCAAGGTGATGCATTGGGGTAAGTTAAATGCAAGTGAAACCTGCTTAACCAATGAAAATCAAACAACACAAAAATAAAAATACAAAAATTTCTTTTTTTTTCTCCAATATCTCATTATCTGATGATTCTTTAATAAAAGTGAATCGCGTTAAATTGATAAATGTTTATTTTTTATCTTCCTGTCCATATTTTATCCGTATTTGATTCCAATTCACACACACACACACACACACACACACACACACACACATTTTATAAAAAATAAAAGAAAGAACTTGCCAAAATAATTAGATTTCCCCGTATCCGTGGAAACTAATATTATTAATGTATGTGTTTATAAAACTCAGTAAATTTCAAAATAAGTTATTCCAAAATTCGCCTGAAAATGAAACAGAAATAGGGCCTTTAATTAAATTATATAAATGAATTTGAAGTTTTTAGTTTTCGTTTTTGAAAAATGGTAATTCTTGTGTAGCAGTGTTATGACATGGAGGCCCCAATCTCCTGATCTCAACCCCATAGAAAATTTATGGAGCATCATAAAGTACAGGCTCTCGAGAAATCAGTTGAGCAACATGCCCCATAAGTTTTCTATGGCGTTGAGGTCAGGAGATTGGGGCACCCATGTCATAACACTCACCTGATTCTCATCAAAGTATTCCTTCATCAATTTTGATTTGTGACAGGGAACATTATCCTGCATAAAAATGAGCTTGGTGGGGTCGATTTGCACCCTTTCAGCAGAAGGGAGCAGACAAGACTCTAAAATTCTCTTATATTGCTCACACCTGGGGTCTTTTCAATCGCTTTCAAGAAACCAGTTCCATGAAAAGAAAAGCATTCCCAGAACATTATACTGAACGGATGATTGATAGTACTTACTGCTAAATTCAAAGAGCTTTCTAAGCTTCTTCTTCGGATTTTACATCGTTTATCCTTTGAATTTAGCTCAACCTTTGTTTCACTGAAGAAGTGAACATTTAGTAAAAAATATCAGGTGAGTCACTTTTATCGAACAGAACTATCTCTCTCTCTCTCTTATGGGAGATAATCTTAAACGCAATTGCCCGATAAAAAGTGGATAATTCTTGTTGATTTTCTCTATACACAATACTCAGTTCTGTCAGGAATTTATAAAATGTTAAATAACTTAAAGTTATTTATCCAAAAAATAAAAATAAATGTGGTCTAAATAAATATCATGAGTTGTTTTTATTTAGAATGACCTTTATAAATATCTCCAAAAACGATTGTCTGAATCAACATTTATTCCAAATTAAATTATGTTCCTTCTCAACTACCGTAACTGTAAACCACCACCCGTTAAATTGGCCTTAGAAAACAAATCAGTTTTTCTGTCCAGAACGATTTTAATTTTTTCCATGAAATATCATAAGTGAACGAATAAAAAATAAAATGTTTTATTTTCGGAAATGACGTTATACCTATTTATTTTTGATTATTTTTGACATTTTCGTTATTTATAATTTAAGAAAACAAAAAAAAAAAGAATATTAACAAAAGAAATTATAGAATATTAAAAAAAAAATTATAGTATATTAACGAAAAATTATAGATTATTAACAAAAAAAAAAAGAAGAATTAAATTGCAACGCTCTGTTGAAATTTAATAGGGAGGTACCTTGCTTGGCACTAAGCTATTTAATCAGAACATTCTCTGTTTCTTGCTTTGTGCCAAATGTAAACAGTACTTCGCCAATAATGACTGGAAACATAGTAAACCATATATTGCTAAAATTAGGAATGATTTAATACATACATATAAATGGTACGATGTATCAACTGTCTTAATTACGCAAAAATGAAAATAACACTGACATCTCATTTTAACATATATATTTCACAAAATTACACAAAAATATCTTTAGTAAAGAGTAAATTTATTCAATAAAATCACCATTGGCTTGAACCACTTCCTTCAGAAGATTTGGTATCTCCTGTAACAATTCTGGACGGTCTCCTTGTAAAGGTTAGTGAATTGCTGCTATAATTTGTGCCTTCAGTTCATGTTCGGTGTTACAAAGAGGTTTTGTTGGTCTCTTGCTCATTTGCACCTCACACATAATAATCAAGGGTTCTGCAGTCTGAGGAGTTAGGCGACAAGTTGTAAGGGTTGATGTGGCCGCAAATGTCGGACAGCTATGAATACATTCTCATGCAGGGTAGCATGATGCAAAGTCCTGTTATAAGGTCTTCCAGCAGCCACCCACTTGACCGTAGACAGCACTACCTTTTCAAGGCACTCGATGTAGGATTCCGTGTTGAACCTGAGCCATCACAACTGATCTCTCCAAACTCTATTATGTTGACTGGATATTTGGTTTTCATCACTCTCGGTATATCTTTAGGGGACACAACAAGCCAACGGGTGTTCTGTGTTTTCACCATCTTATCCTGGAAGAGATATATTTCTCGTCTGATAAAAACCAAAGCATGTTCGATTGGAGAGGATGCTTGAATTTGTTCAAATGCTTCATAACGTGGTCTTTCTTCTTATCCTTGATGGGCTGGGATAAAAATTGGCACTTTCTCAACTCGTATGAGAAATACAGAATGTCTTCATTCACTAACTGCCTCGTAAGTAACTCAGACACGCCTTTGGCTATGTACATGACTGACTTAGTGGGATCTTTATCAATCATGGCCCTGATCTCCCCAGCAAATTCTGGAGTCCTTTTTTTTTATCGGAATGATCAGAGTGAGTTTTCCGAGCCGCCGTACACAAATCACCATCGGATTCATCCACCTATTTCCAAATCTTCTACACTTCTACCCTCAAATTAACACCCAAACACACTAAAATATTTGTATTGAAACTTACGGCGAAAATGACAAGCAGAACAGCATGTTATTTCCAAATTTCTGGTGGAGTGAATTGCGTCATGGTGGTCTTTTCCCCACAGATGGTGTCAAACTGATCCTTCTCTACTGTTCACTCGTCAAGATCAAAAACGAATAACGCGCATGCGAGAAGT